ACAGCTGGAGAGCCGGGACTTGCATAATTTTTTTTTCGATTGTGACGAAGAGATAATGGGAGGAAATTGGTGGCGTTGCATGTGAATTTGTCCCACCGAAGACTGATCCGTATTTGGGATGATGATATATTGCGTAGCTGTGATACTTTTTATTTTTCTTAAATTTCGTGATTGGGGTTTTGTAGAGTAACGTCCGGACTATCTACGCATGCAAAAAAATTACTAACATTGTATGTTAGTTTTCTGAGAACGGAGCTGGTTTTCCAAAGATCCTCTAGAAACCCGATCTCTGAAATTTTTTCTAAAGTTGCTTCTGCTTGTAGAAAGTTCTGCTCAAGTCTTGGCTGTTGAGCAGCGAAAATCGCAGGTCTCTATCTCATTCCTATCAAAAGTTATTCAAAAAGTGGCTGACTGTCTTGTATTTTGGAACGCATAGTAGTAACAAGCAATAAATCTGAAAATGATAAAAGTGATAAGTAATAAAATAAAAGTTTCAACTTTATCCTTAACTACTAGTATCAAGCACTTAAAGCCCGAATAGTATTAAAATGATATAAAGCAATTCGTGATGAAAGTAATAAGTAATAAAAGTAATAATAATTATTACTTATTACCGAGTAATAGTAATAAAAAGTAATAGTAATGTAGCAGTCCTACTTATGGGAAACGCCTATTTCGACAGGAAGAAATCTCGAAGAAAATGAAGAATTAAGTTCTGCTGCAGCAACATCGATTTCTGCGGGGAGAAAACATGAAGTCCTGGAGGAACACCGATTTCTTCAGGAAAAATCATGAAGTTCTTGTGGGGAAAAACCCTTTTCTAAAGTAAAAAACATGAAGTTTTTGCCGAGAAACACTGATTCCTACAGAAAAAAATATGAAGTTGTTGCGGAGAAACACCGGTTTATACAGGAAAAAGTCTGGAGTTCTTGTGCAGAAACAGCGATTTCCAGAGCAAAAAAAACATGAAGTTCTTCGGAGAATCGGAGAAGCACCGATTTCTTCCGGAGAAACATAAAGTTCTTGCAGGGAAACACCGATTTATAGCGCAAAAAGGATGTTCTTGTGGAGAAACACCAATTCCTAGAGCAATAAACGTGAAGTTCTTGCCGAGAAACGCTAATGTCGACAGGAAAATATGTGAAGTTCTTATGTTAAACGCCGATTTCGACCGAAAGAAATGAGGTGAAAACCTGAAGTTGCTGCGCAACCTTGATTTCTCCGGGCAAAAACATGAAGTTTCTGTAATTTCTAGCGGAAATGACGTGCCGAGAATTGCCGAGAAACACCACGTTCGACAGGAAAATATACGAAGTTCTTATGGGAAACGTCGATTTCGACAGGAAAAAATGTGGGATTCTTGTGGAGAATCACCGATTTCCACAGGAAAAAGTATGAACCAATATGGATATGAACTTTCGTTTTTTCCCTGAAGAATAAATAAGAAAATCGGTGCTTCTCCACAGGAACTGCATGTTTTTCCTGGAGAAATCGGTGTTTCTCCGTTTTCTTTTTGCTGTGGAACTCGTTGTTCGTCTACAACAATCCCACATTTTTAAACACCGATTTCTAGAGCAGAAAACATAAACTTCTTGCCGAGAAACAATGATTTCTAAAGAAAAATAAATGAAGTTCTCATGGGAAATTTCGACCGAAAAGAATGTGGGATTCTTGTAGAGAAACAGCGATTTGAAGAGCAAAAAGAAAGAAGAGAAATACCGATTTCTTCTGGAGAAACGTTAAGTTTTTGTGGGGGAAACAGCGATTTCTAGAGTAACAGCGATGAAGTTCTACTGCAGCAACGTCGATTTCTGGGGCTGAGAACTTGAAGCCTAGAAACACCGCTTTCGATAGGAAAAAATATGGGATTCTTATGGAGAAACACCGATTTCCACAGGAATAAATATGAAGTTTTTCTGGGGAAAACCGAATTTTACAGGAAGAGATGTGGGATTCCTGTGGAGAAACACCGATTTCTAGAGAAATCAGTGTTTCTCGGCAAGAACTTGATGTTTTTTGCAGTACAAATCGCTGTTTCTCTACAAGAATCCCACATTTTTTGCTGTAGAAGTCGGTGTTTCTCCACAACAACTTCATGCTTTTAGCCCCAGCAGTCGATGTTGCTGCAGTACAAGGTCATGTTTCCCGACAAAAACTTTTTTCTTCAAGAAATCAGCTCTTCTCGACAGAAACTTCATGTTTTTCTAGAAATCGGTGTTTTTTCCTGAAGTAATCGGTTCTTCTCCGCACCCATTTTTTCTGGAAAAGCCCGAAGGGCTTGTGGAGAAAAAACATGCAGGGCCTGTGGAGGAGCACCGATTTTCTATTTTACTTTCCGATTAAGTTCATATTTTTTCCTGTAGAAATCGGTGTTGCTCCACAAGAATATGTTTTTAGCCGCAGAAATCGACGTTCCTGCAAGAGAACTCTTTTACTCTTTTACTATAGAAATCGGTGTTTCTCCGCAAGAACTTGATATTTTTTGCCGTAGAAAACGCTGTTTTCCCACATGAATCCCACATTTTTTCCTGTAGAACGCGATGTTTCTCCACAACAACACAAAATCGATGTTTCTGCAGCAGAACTTCATCTTTTTGGCTCTGGAAATCGCCATTTCCCCACAAACCTTCACGTTTTTCCGGAAAAAATCGGTGCTTCTCGATGCGAGCCCTTTTCTCTAGAAATCGGTGTTTCTTCACAAGACCTAAGTGTTTTTTCCTTTAGAAATTGACGTTTCTCCATAACAACTTCATGTTTTCAGCCCCAGAAATCGACATTGCTGCAGTAGAACTTCATCCTTTTTACCCCAGAAATCGCGTTTTATCTTCACGTTTTTTCCTGAAGAATAAATAAGAAAATCGGTGCTTCTCCACAGGACCGCTGTTTCTCTACAAGAATCCCAAATTTTTTCCTGTGGAAATCGGTGTTTCTTCATAGGAATGTCACATTTCTTCCTGTCGAAGTGGCGTTTCCCATCCGGACTTCATATACTTTCCCGTCGAAATCAGTGTTTCTCGGTGAGAACTTGATATTTTTTTCTGCTCTAGAAATCGCTGTTTCTCCTTAAGAACTTCATGTAGCAGAAAAAACACTAAAGCAAGAAACAAAAAAAGTCTTTGTGGAGAATCAGCGATTTCTAGAGCAAAAAGAACATGTAGTTCTTGCCGAGAAACACCGACTTCTACAGGAGAAAACATGAAGTTCCTGCACGGAAACAGCGATTCATGGCGGAAAAAGATGTTTTTGTGGAGAAACACCGATATCTACAGCGAGAAACATGAAGTTCTTCCCGAGAAACACTGATTTCGACACTAAAAAGTGTGGGATTGTTGTAGAGAAACAGCGATCTCAAGAGCAAAAAGAAGGAAAAGAAACACCGATTTCTTCAGGAGAAACATGAAGTTCTTGTGTATAAACACCGATCTCTAAAGGAAAAGCCTAAAGTTCTTGTCGAGAAGCACCGATTTCTTCAGGAAAAAACATGAAGGTTTTGTGGGGAAACAGTGATTTCTAGAGTAAAAAAGATGAAGTTCTTGCCGAGAAACACTGATTTCGACAGGGAAATAAATGAAGTTCTTATGAGAAACGCCTACTACGACAGGAAAAAATGTGGGATTCTTGTAGAGAAACAGCGATTTCAAGAGCAAAAAGAAAGAAGAGAAACACCTGAAGAAATCGGTGCTTTTCCACAGGAACTTCCGGTTCTTCAGGGCGCTGTTTTTCTAGAAGAACCCCAGATTTTTTCTGTGGAAATCGGTGTGGAATCCCACATTTCTTCCTGTCGAAATCGGCGTTTTCCATAGGAACTTCATATATTTTCCTGTCGAAATCAGTGTTTCTCGGCAAGAACATGTTGTTCCCTGAAGAAATCGGTGCTTCTCCACAAGAACTTCATGTTTTTTTTTGCTCTAGAAATAGCTAGTTTCTCTACAAGAATCTCACATTTTTTCCTGTGGAAATCGGTGTATTAACCAATTATTGCCGAATATATTGATTCACATATTGACAGCATGAAGGATGCTGTCTACATTGCATCCCGGGATGCCTGTATAAAGACGTCCTGCTTTCTGTAGTATATTCAGAGAAAGCAATATTCCCTGATATATCGATCTATTATTGCTTAATATATTGACTTGATATAAATAAATACTTTGTAAATTTGTGAAGTGTATGTTTTACATATATAGTACAGTGGCTGCAAAACATAAAGGGGAGTAATCCGATCGTCGATATATCGAGTAATATATTGGGCTACCTAGCTATATCTAGTAATGTGTATCGTGCAAGCTAGCTAAATCGCCCGGTCGATATTTTTCTTCTGCTTGGGGATCTGTCGTAGGATAAACGCTGATTTTGTTGTGCAGTTTAGAGATGCTCTCGTATAAAATCAAATGCTGGTAGAAGGTTAGCAGTAAGTCGATCACGATGGACTCGAACATCTCGAACGTTGGCTAGATGGTCGCCAGATGGATTTATTGAACCAAATAGTACATCTGTCGGTAAACGAGGGTCACGACCGAACATCAAGAAGGCAGGAGATTCTCCAGCACTATCGTTTATCGCCGTCGTAGCGAAAGCCAACTGAGGGAGTTTTACATCCAAGGCACGTTGATCATTTCTAGCATACTGATCATCGTTTTGAGTGTATTATTTATGAGTTCTGATAGATTTGACTGTGGATGATATAGAACAGTTCGACGGTGCTTTATTTCAAGAATACGAAGAGTTCATATATACCTGAAATAAATTGCGGACCATTATCTGAGATGATCTTCGCTGGGCACCCAAAACGGCACATGACTTCGTCGTGAAGTATTTACGCAATACGAGTAAAGCGCGTATTTTGCAACGAAAATAATTCCACCCATTTTGTAAAGTAGAACGGCTACTAAAAAGGCCTTGTGTTGACCGATGTCAAGATTTTTAGGTATCATTTAAAAAGTTTGGTAACTGATTAATATTATATATTCACAAAAAAAATAGATGAACTGGACAATATTCTATGGCAATATGCCGAATGGCGGTTCAGTTTCAAAACTATTCGTTTCGGTTGTTTCTAATGAAACGAATTCTAGTCTATTTTCTTCAAAATCACCGAGTCTGATCATGTTTATCGCATCTTGAATATGCGAAGGAATTTCTGGCTCAATTGTGCGAACTTCGACTATGAAAAACATCGTGTCGTCTAGCACATATGGACTTGGATCTTGGTGAACTGTATTCAACGCTGTAAAATTTTTAATCTCGACAGTAAGTTCGCTGAGTGGTTGCAAACTAGCTGTGATCCTTTTTATTACATGCTCCTTGCTAGTGCTTTGATCAATGAGACAAAATGTCGCTTTCATATTCATGGGCCACTTCAATAGACAGTCGTATTCACCGGGCATCACCGTGAGCGACACTGACATGTATTTACCACATGCACTGCCATCTCCATTCAGATAAGCCCGTGCAAACATTTTATACCCGTATTTCGACGTGGAGAAGAACGGTGAACTCACACACTGTTCTCGCCGGGACTGTGCATGCTTGATTCCTTGATACACATTCGATATTTTCCATAATAACATGCCGTCGGTAGACACGATTTCGTTCAGCTTGAAACTGTCCAACTTTTGCTCTAAAACTTGTTGATTCACGAGCATAACAGCTATCTGTGAGCTGATCTCTTTTAGAGAAATATCCGACTGCAGTGATTCTCGACTCAGTCGTTCAGTGTCTTTGTTTAGAGCTGAGATACCATGTGTGAGAATCTCGAGGATTTCGAAACATTTCACAAACTTAGAATGACATTCAGTACATCCAGAGGATTGCGTGATCGTCTAGAAGACGCATGCATCTGAGAAACAGCGTGGCAAAGACAAAGGTACCGCTTAGGTATAGAACAGTTTCGGTTCGTATCTGACAAAACTCGACACTGTTAGAGCCGAAACTGATTTTAAACCAAAAGTAATAAGTACTACGGTTTTTTTTCTTCAAAATTTTCATTCAGAACGTGTGCCGAGAAATCAATCATCCGGTTTTATCTCATCCAAAGTCAAATCTATCAGAACTCATAAATAATACACTCAAAACGATGATCAGTATGCTAGAAATGATCAACGTGCCTTGGATGTAAAACTCCCTCA